ATATAAGATTATTACTTCTTTTTTTAACTTTTTTTTTCACGTTCATTACAATATCTTATACATTATATGTTGCATTTTGAAACCAAGTAATGATCCTAGCATGGTGGTTTGGGAGTTGGCTTATCATCCAATGTTCCTAGGTTTGATTCCCTTTAACTCCCCACTTTGGGAGTTTTTCTTTTGTTCCAATTTTCCAATCTAATATGATGGTGACACGTGTTATCATTTGATTGGATGAGAAATAAAATAATTAAATTAAAAAAATACTTTTTATTCGTGTTGTGACATGTGTCACAATATGATTAGAGTATTAAATTCATTAAATTTAATTTAAATTAGGACCAAATTGATAAAATATATAAATATTAAAAATTAAATGTATAATTATGTCAATTTTTTTAATGGCCACAACAGTATTTCTATCAACCATTAACGACTAGTAGCTTGATTGAACACATTTAAATAATTAAGTGGTCAATGATATACTTTATCTTTAAATTTAATAAATTAATCATTCAATTATGATCTAACATGTGCCAATATCTGATTGAATGATATTTTATTAATTTTAATTTATTTAATTAAATAATTTTTCTATCAAATCAAGTAATGACACTTATCACCAACTAATGGAATCAAAAGCTAATAAATTAGTTTAATTGAGTTTAGGGAAGATTGAATACACGTCCAACGCATGGCAAAACCATACCTTACCATTGCACTAGTCTCTTCATCGCGTCGTATGCTACAACATATTCTATATATGTTATTAACATGCGTCACCACTTATTGAATAGAAAAATTATTTAATTAAATAAAATAAAATTAAGAAATTCAATCAAGTGTTGACATATGTTAGATCCTAATTATATGATTAATTTATTAAATTAAATTTAAATTAGGATCAGATTGATATAATATGTAAATATTAAAGATTAAATTTTTATTTATGTCAAATTTATAACTATCACGTCATTATTTTTATCAATTGTTAACAACTAGTGTATTGATTGACAAAAATTAAATAATTATGTGATCTGATTGACAAAATTAAAAGATCGATGATAAAAACAAAATGATTAAATACTTAAATGATCAATTAAAATAATTTACCCTTATTTTAAAATATTGTGTAAATGAACTCAATGTTTGATAAAATATTTGGGAACATTTTTATAAGATTTACTTATATTTGTTTATTAAATTAAATAAACGAATACGAATAACTATTTATATTCATTTAATAAATGAACGGATAAAAGTATATTCAATTTGTTTATGTTTAAGAATAAGTTCATTTATTGATTTGTTCGTTTATGTTCATGAACAAACTCGTTTAATAACTTATTTATAATCTTATTTTTTTTACATTTTAAATATTGATGAATGTATAAATTAAATTGAATATGTGATAAAATTTAAAGTTTAAACTATGAAACATAAGCATTTCATGAATAAATATATTCGTAAATAATAAATAAACGAACATAAATATATTTAAAAATAAGTAAACAAATATAATATTAAAAAATAAATAAACACAAACTAAATATAAATAATTATAAAAATAAATAAACGAAGATAAACGTAATTTTATCCGATGAATCTACACCCCAGTTATCCGCTTGTATTAGGCTGTTGCAGCATAAACGACGCCGTTAGTAAAATGTTATCCACTCAAGTCCCTTGCCTTCATCTCAAACAATTCAGTATACCGAAAGCCATAGAAATGGCTTCTTCTACTCACTTCTCCCTTACTTTCAAACCCTCACCGTCGCCGCTCTTTTCCAACTTCTCTCGAACCCGGTTCACTCCTTTCACAACAGCCAGACCGATCGGTTCCCCTTCCAAAATCCTTGCTAGTCAAACCGGGTTCTTCACTCGACTCGGCCGGTTAATCAAGGAAAAAGCCAAGAGTGACGTCGAAAAGATCTTCTCGGGATTCTCCAAAACCAGAGACAACCTCTCCGTCATCGACGAGCTCTTATTATACTGGAACCTTGCAGAAACCGATCGTGTCCTTGATGAACTTGAAGAGGTTTTCTCATCTCTATTCATAGTTTAAACATCACAGGCAAAGTGTTAGTAAAGCAGTTAAAATGGTGGGAAAATGAATAAATTTATTCTAATTTGAGTGCAGGCTTTGTTGGTATCAGATTTTGGACCAAGAATTACTATTAAAATAGTGGAGAGCTTGCGGGAGGATATTCTAAGTGGAAAACTTAAATCAGGAAGTGAAATAAAGGTTAATTCAGGAAGTCCAATATTTTTGCATTCTTTGTTGAATTTAGTTAGTGGAGTGTTTTATTTTATGATATAAATATTGAAAAAATGTGAGTTAATTATGGGTTTAGGATGCATTGAAGAAGAGTGTGTTGGATCTCTTAACAGCAAAGGGAAGTAAAACCGAGCTTCAACTTGGATTCAGGTCTTTTGTGTTTCAGATTTTGAATTTACTTCATGATCTATCCTGCTGTAAACTGCTGTTGTTTGTTTTCCTTGCTGAACACCCTCTAATGCATTCAGGAAGCCAGCCGTGATCATGATTGTTGGTGTTAATGGAGGTGGCAAGACGACATCACTTGGTAAGTCTATAAAGCGAAGTCTTTAATTGTTCTAGTGGTAAGGGCATAATATTGAATTGTGGTCGCGGATGCTACGGATATTACATCGTGATTTGTTTCCTAAAAATAACTAAGTTTTCACATTGTGGATGTGGTGTCGTGGTGACCTTGAAAAATGTCACGATGTAGCCGTTGCACATGCACTATGTTGTTGCCACAATTTAATACTGTGGGCAAGAGTGTTGAGATTTGTGAATGGAATTCTGTAAACCAAATTAGTGGGTTTTTATCGTTGCGAGTTTTGTCTAGTTTATATGTCTAGGGAAGATTTAGTTATGAGCAACTTTTATCTCAACAAATTGATGTTTGACATTTCATTATAAAATGATCCAATTCAATTAGTGATTCCCTTGCAGGAAAGCTGGCTTATAGATTAAAGAATGAAGGGGCAAACGTGAGATGCTAAAAAGCATAAAATGCTTTAGCTACTACAATGTGATGAAGGCCTTTGTAGTTGTAAACATGTTTATTCATAAATAGTTTTTGCGTAACGTTTTATCTTACGGTTTGAGATCTTGGCAGATACTGATAGCAGCTGGCGACACGTTCAGAGCAGCTGCCAGTGATCAACTAGGGATATGGGCTGAGCGAACTGGTTGTGAGATAGTTGTAGCTGAAAAAGGAAATTCCAAAGCATCATCAGGTAGACAAAAATAACATCTAATGAAAGTGTTCCTTTTAGGATTGAAAGGGGTGTAGTGGAAGGAGACAAATGTAGTGTTTTGTTGATTGTTACTACTGTGTCATGCATAACAAAAATTTTAACTTGTGATGTTAAAGTCCTTTCTGAATAGTGCTTTCGCAGGCTGTGAAAAGAGGTAAAGATGAAGGTTTTGATGTTGTCTTGTGTGACACATCCGGACGTAAGTATTATGAAACCTTCTTCTTGTATTCTTGTTGATTTGTCTCGGCCTCTAAGCTGTTTATCACTGGCGTGCTTTATTAATTTTGCAGGTCTTCACACTAACTACAGCTTAATGGAAGAGTTGATAGCATGTAAGAAGGCTGTTGGCAAAGTTATTCGTGGTGCACCTAACGTAAGCTCAATTTTTTCGTGGCCCTGAAATCATTTTAATGGTCAGGCAATGAGAGATATTTGCATTTCTTCTTCTGTCCAGACAAAGCACATGTTTGATACATTACTTTATCTGTCAATATTCCACATCTTCATTTACTTTGGTCATCATTTCTGGCTTAGTCATGGGCATGTTTCCTTAGACACGAAATTCAGTGATGTTTTAGTACCAGACTACCAGTTTCTATGGTTTAGCTCTAGCTATTTGTAGTATCTTCAAAAGTAGCTTCAAGGATGATGATTTTGATGTGTTTATCTTTTCAAATTCTCGTATTTATAGCCAAGACTTACCTTAATTATGGCAATACCAAAACATTTGCAGGAGATATTACTAGTTCTTGATGGGAACACTGGATTGAATATGCTTCCTCAAGCTAGAGAGTTCAATGAGGCACTCTTCCTACTCTTGCCTTCATCAAGATACTAAGACTTGTTAAATGCTAATATCTTACTATTGCACCTAGTTGCTGTTTCAGCTGTATTAACATTCAATGTTGTCAGGTCGTTGGAATAACTGGTTTTATTTTGACGAAACTTGATGGTTCTGCCAGAGGGGGCTGTGTGGTATCCTCTCTTAAACCAGTTTCTATTTTGGTTTTGAGTTGGCGTGGGATGGTATTGAGGGTTGTTTCCGTACTTCCAATTCAGATTTTTTTAATCTATGTTCTTGCCTTGCACAGGTCAGTGTGGTTGATGAGCTTGGGATTCCTGTGAAGTTTGTAGGTGTCGGTGAAGGTGTTGAAGACCTTCAACCGTTTGATGCAGAGGAATTCGTTAATGCCATATTTTCATGAGAAATATGGTTGGTAAAGTCATCAGATTACCTGTAGGTCCATTAATACAACTCTTTTGGTAACATCTTATCAATCACCATATACATTGTTGAATTAACCCGGTGCATTATTATCTTCTTGTTTCTTAGGAATTTTATCATTCGGGATCAGTTTGGCCGATACATGCATATTGTTGTAAGAACTCAGTCAGAAGAGTATTTGCTGGCCGGCAAGCTAGGATTAAACAAACAGGTGGATCAGATGCGTTAAGAAAACTTAAGCACTATGATGATGCAGGTTTTTGGTATGTACATCAATTTCCTCCTAGTTTTTAAGCATTTGGATATTGCCTTCACCAATGAACAAAACTGTAAGACTAGTAAATGAAACGTGCACTTCAAATAGTTTGATGCATCTCCATTTCTTATGACATTGAAGCCGCATTCATTAACCAGAGTCAATTTTAGGCTCCCTCTTTGTTAACAATTGATGAATAACTTGATGAGATATTATCAAGTACAGGAACCAACTCGGAGAATACTAGGATCCTATTAGTGTACGTTATTTTTTTAACAAGAATTATATATACTATCAAGTAACACAGAATATTAATTTCGCTGTAGAACCAGAAATCTTACAGGAAAATTTTAGATATCAGCAGAACCCCAAAGTAGTGCAAACTTCATAGCTTGGGAATGGGTGAATTATAGAAGGTAGCACGGCAGCTGTAGACCAGTTTCCCAGTCTTGCTCATTTTGAATTCGATCGCGATTACAGTTATACTTCTTCCACTTCTAATCACGGATCCATCAATAATCAACTCTGCCTGCACCGTTGTAAACATATATGAGATGATACTATCACTACATTTACAAACACCATATGAGATGATTGATCGAAAATATTGTGATTATCAAACTGTTGATGAGTAGTGTTGACGAGAGGATTCACGGTTTCGTGGAATCAGTGTTATCGAGCTTAGATAATTAATCTCTTTGATATTTGATTTTAACTTCGTCTCACATGGATTCAGCATCACTATGAATGTATGATGACATAAATATATAGAAAACATTTGCTCTAATTAACATCTGAAAATTGAATTGTTTCGCCACTGTTCATAGCATCATTTACACACAAGTTGGCAGGCATAATCACTATTCACAAATGATCACAATCAAGGTTCCACTTATTTTCATAGAAACTACAACTGGGAATAAGTATTAACCAAAACCAGATATTAGAATTTTGAAAAGCCAAAAGAAAGAAACTCACATTGATGGTAGCAGAAGAGAGATAAGATATGGCCAATTCACCAAGAAAAATGTCCTTATCCTCACCCACCACTGTTCTAGCTGTGGCGATCGCCACTCTTTCCGCTATCGCTGCGACTACACTTCCATGTAACCCGCCAAAAAAATTCTGCAAAACAGAACCAAATAAAATCGATAAGAAAAAAGAAACCCTCGTATAACATGGGAATAAATCCAGAAGAATTACGGTGATAGGGGGTTTGACGGTGGTGACGCAGGTGACGTGGCCACGTTGGACGGTGTGGGTCTTGAGGTGGTTACATAAGAGAACGGAGTAGAAGTCGTTGGAACTGTAGTTTTCCACTTCGGGATCGGAAATTCCGACGCTTTCTAGGAAACGAATGGTCCTGGACGCGTGCGGCGGAGATCTCTGATCGGATTCCGTCGTGGTGGCACCATCTGAAGAAGCTGGAAAAGTAGAGGAGGGCTTTGTCATTTGTTTGAGACGGTTGGCGCCTGTTGATACGTCATTCAACAATTTATTTGGAAGGGATCAAATTTCTACTCTCTCGGTCTAACGTAGACCTTTCGCCAAGGAGTTTTAAGAAAAATTAATTTTAAGATAAAATCACATAATTATTTATAATTTTGTTAATATTTCACGTACTATTTGATTTCACAAATATATTATTAAATTATGTAAATTATTACAATTTTGATAACATTGTGTAAATTTTATTAACATTTGATGTAATATTTGATTTCATAAAATGTTAAATTATATAAATTATTACAATTTTAATAATATTTTTTGTAATTATAAATTTATATAATTATTTGAAATATTTTATATAATTATCTAAGTATTTGAGTATTACGTACAATGTTATCAAATTTCAAACAATTTATAATTGCATAACCATTTGAGTTCTTTAAACGTCCAAAAAGATATGATTGAAGAAAAACACCATTTTATTTCAATCCAAGTATTTGGTGCAAATTAATTAATTAATTAAATTTAAATTTTATCTCGATTTTACTAAAAAGAATAATTATAAATCGCACACGTAAATAAAAACGAATATGCAAAAAATATATAAAAATATATGCAGAAATCTTAATGCTGCACAAATATTGAATTATGGAGGCTTTCATTTTAACAAAATATGTCTTGGAGATTTGTGCATAGATATCAATATTCAACACTAGCCTTTATAAACCCTGTTCTTTAACATCACCTCTCCCGGGTTGCTTATCTGAATGTAATGGAGGACTCGTCACCTCCATCCACAAGCTCGACCGTCGGCAGTTCCGATGCAGAATCATCTGAAGCTCGGGTTTTCTCAACTCAACCGCATATGATATGTCAAAGTCGAATACAACAGAACATCAAAACCATTGGCCACCCATAACTTTCTCAGATTTATATGCTAAAGTGAGAACATGAGTAGAGTAATGGCAATTCCTAAAGTAGAAACTGAAGCAAATCCAGCAACCAAGTCTCAAATGATCTTTTAAGGATTGTTGTCTCGTAGTGTGCTTGCATCCAATTTAGTCCGAGGCTCTACAAAAACATACAACCCTTGTGTTATAAGCTAATCATGGATGAGTAATAATACAATGGATCAAAAGAAGTTCGAACTGACCGGTACTTGAGCAGATGAAAAGCTCGAGTTTCAGACTCCAAGCTGAAGACTAAGCACGTTGCGATCTTCTAACAACAGTCGATCCACTGTTAGGTTTCTGAAGAATATTGCACACATAAAGGAGTCAAAACTTTATAAACCATCATCCATGTCACAGTTCTGTCAGTTCAGACAAAACGGAACGCAGGTTCATAACCATTAAACACACAAGATCTGCATTCTTAATATTTCGCACGAAGGCGCAACATGCATGCCTAAAGTAAAAGAAGCGACTCAAGGGATTACATAACAAATACAGACAGTCAACATGATCAACTGAATCAATCCATCACTAGAACGATATTATTAAGCATTCAACATACTCATGCAGGAAGAAAGCTTGATTAAAGTGCGGTGAGATGTACCAGACTGAAAGAGAGTGCTCAACCGGATTTTCTTTCCGCTTCATTTATGCTGTTTCCATCAGCAGCTGAGCAGAGTTCAAGAGAGTAACAAAGATAAGGCTCTTAGAAGGAAATCAAAAGCAGCAAGCCATGTCGATCTTGTTCCTCGATAGGGTGTCATGCTGTCATATGTTGTTTGGTAATAAATAGTACAATCTTATAAAGAAACCTAGTAATAACTTTTTCCTTTGCTCAAAAGGAAAAATGCATTTATGCCATTTTCTTTCCATATATGTTTGGAATTTAATTTAAACATGGCTAGCATTACCCTAGAGCTTCTAACATGCTTGAAAGAGCTTAAATAATTGGTAAAAAGTCCCACTATATTGGTGATTATTGTCATATTCCGTGCTGTCATCAGCACAGATGATATTTCAACCACAGATATAACTCTCCGTTGTCAAGATTATTTAAAATAAAATAAAAAACAAAGGAAATGCCTAGCAAACAAAGATGTTCAAAAGTTCAGCATGACAGAAAACACAGACAACCTATTTAATAGGAAACAGGTCAATGACAATTGCGGCTGTTGTGTCCATATTGACCGCAGTGACCGCAACGGTATTTTCTTTTTGGAGGCTTCCTAACCATCGATTGGGGATTCTCTTCTTCTGTAATCTGACAGTGAGCAACAGTCCGGCGGTTGTGTCCACGTCGACCACAGCGGTATATTCCTTGCCAAGGTTTAGGGATCATTGGCTGGGGATTCTCTTCTTCTGTCATCAGACAGAAAGCAACAGTGCGGCGGTTGTGTCCATGTCGACCACAGCGACTGCATCGGTATTTTCGTTGCGGAGGTTTAGGGATCACCGGCAGGGGATTCCCTTCTTCTGTAATCTGACAGAAAACAACAGTGCGGCGGTTGTGTCCCTGTTGACCACAGCGACTGCATTGGTATTTTCGTTTTGGGGGTTTAGGGACGATTGGCTGGGGATTCCCTTCTTCTGCAATCTGGAAATCAAGAAGACAAAGTTTAAGCAAAATAGGAGGAGATAACGAGTATGTTGAGGAAATTGAAAGGAATTATAGAATATGAAACTTGCCGTCAGACAAAGGACTTGATCAGGACAATGATGAAGACCAGGCCCTATCTCCTTGCAGCGTGGACAGAGGTGTGTCGGCTCCTCTTTGATTAAGATATACTTACGCAGTTGCTCTCTCCAGAGATCAGAACGTTCTCCCGAACTTACCAGAGGAGCTGGCTCTCGCGAGAGCTCAGGACGTTCAGAACTCACCAGAGGAGCTGGAAAGTATTCCTAAAAATTCAAAACAAAAGCACTCAGTCAATGACAGAGAAAGAGAGAAATATGTGTGAGAAAACATCATTAACTAGGTGAAATGAAAATTAAAGTATCCAGGGAGCAGGGATGTCATTGTTTTAAAGTCCTTGCAAAGAGTTGTACAATGACCTATGAGAAATGCAAGTTTGACATATAGTTTTCCGGAATGAACAGATGATGATGCATTGAAACCATACATACGTGTTATGCAAGTCTGCTGATGAAGAATTATTACAAAATAGATTTTGGAACTGAAGTAGGCAAATATTAGTGCAAACTGAGAAAAAAAAGTAGCACCAGATTCTTGTGTGCTATCATAAATCAACTTCAAAGCTATTTTTCTGTTTCACCAATTTAAGTCGATGCTTTGTTAACTGCACATTATGTGTTTGTTATCACCGTGAGACCTAATACATACACATTGATATAAAACAGTACTGGAAGCCCTCAGCTGTTGAGGAATTCCATCCTTTGCATTGGCTTAATAACTATATGGATCCACTTGACTCAAATCCTGTTGTGTTTGCTGATCAGTTTTGTACTAGCTTCAATATTAAGAAGTTAAAATACGTTACGTTACAGTTCAATTATGACCATAGAGAACACGTCAGCTTACGATCAGCATGTGACGTCACGTAAATGAGGCAATCTTCAATAGATTCTCTTTCACCATATCGAACAAAGTTAAGGTAACCTATATTCAGCACATACCACTTGCCGTCATAAATAACAAGATTACTAGATCGAGTGTTCTTAACATGACGTAATCATAATAAAAAGGGTAAAATCAAGAATCATTCCTCACGTGTCCAAATTTATTCATATCAAACCGACATATATTAATCAGTGTAACTATACAAGCAACAGGACACGTGCTAGTTATGAACAAGATTGGCGATGAGCAGATGAACATGCAATCTAAGATGCTCCACATATATGACTAAAACCAACAGATCTTAATAGAAAGTACCCCCTAAGCTTCAGAAAACATGCTAGTATTCGATCAATGCACTTGACTTACCAACTTCTACCAACGGTTATCGGTATTACCGGTCTACGAGTAAAAGCAAAAACAAACACATGCATGTCATGTCATATCATCTAAAGCAAAACATATCCTAACATACCTCAGTTTCAATCATTGGGATGTCATGAGCACTGCTTTCCTGCAATGATTGTTGAAGCTTCGTATCATCAGCCATTGTTACCAAAGTTCAATTTTCTAAAGAAAATAAGGTCTCTAGTGCAAAATTGAACAGGGGCAAGTTGAGTTTACTTAATGAACCGATTAAACAAATCCATCAAAAACCATTCCATATTATCAACTAATACATGATCTATATACCTCAATTTCAGTTTATGGGATGTCCAAAGTTCAAACGTCTATAAAAATTAAGGTCTCCGGAGCAAAATTGAACATGGTAATGGACCAATTAAACGAAAACCCATTCCATATTACCAACTAATATATCACTATATACCTCAATTTCAGTTTTTGGAACATCAGAAACACTGATTTCCTGCAATGATTGTTGAAGCTTCTTACCATCAGCCATTGCCGCCGGAGTTCAGTAGTCTAATGAAATTAAGGTCTCTAGTGAAGAATTGGACTGGGGAATCTGGGGTTAATATGGAGGTCATTGAGAAGATTGCCGCCATAACACGTGTTGAAATGGTCCGTAGAGAGGGAAAAACGTGGGAGGTGATGGTTAATAAGGTAAGAAATTGATTCCTCCAGAGCACAGTTTTGATTTTACTGGGATTAGCTTGGTTTCATGAATGGTCAATGATAAATACGACGAATAGGAGTAAAAGCTGATGAGCTGTATTTGGAATTTTGAGGCCATGAATGGCAATGTTTAGTAGGATGGAACCCCAGAGAGCAGCCGTTACTGGGTATTTGAAGAACAATAGGTTGTCCCGCTGCCATCGGTGTTGTATTTGTTTAAACGACGACGTCAGTGGCTTTTACTTCTTATTAGTAAAGAACTTAGTATACCGCAGGCCCTGGGCCTCGGGAAGCAATGAATAGTGGAGCCTAGTTTGATGCCCACACAAAACACACTACCAACCGTGACTTGTTGATGGAATAAATGCGGTACTGATAGTTTCTAGTTGTTAGTTCCTTTTAATGTGTCACGTATGTTTGCTCGGAAATGGACAATCGTATGAGAGATGATGATTTATATATAATTTTTGGTATTGTATCGTACATAAAATGATGATAGTTATCTATAAGTTAACGGATCAAATAAATATGATTATCAAAAAATATATTTAACTAACAATTTTGTCAAATAACATATTTAACGGTAGATCACGTGATCTATCATTGATTATATTAATAGGCCATAGTTGATCGAAGAATATAAAATTTTAAAAACTCCAAAATTTGAAATACAAAAGGATAAAAGTAGAAATATTTACAAAAGAAATTTGGAGGAGTTACAACATGACTATCTCTGTCATTTGTACCAAACTATCGTCATCTTTGTCACATGTATCAGACTATCAGTCTTTAAGATCAAACATTCCCGACTCTTAAGAAAACTTTTAACTTTTATCTTATATTTAATAATTTTAATATATGTGTCGCAACCGTCTTTCGGTTAGGCTCTGGGATTGGGCTTCGATTTGGATTAAATGAATTGGGTTAGGAGTCGCCATCGACTATTTTAAAACGAATTTAGGTGGGTCGGACACCATCTTACTTGATCTGCGTTTTTACCAGAAATGTGTCGGGTTCGGGAGTCGGTTACGGTCAAGGAATGATTAGCACCCTTGAACCGCCCTTTCGGTACCAATTAATTTACCGGTTGTCTTTATTTGCGAAAACTAGAATTTAAATTAAAATTTAAAAGCATTCTATTCGAATTGTTTACATGTGGTTGATTAAAAAATCCCTAAAAGTAAAAATAAAAAATTAAAAAATAAACATTAAATAAATCAAAGGGAAAATAAAATAAAATTAAAATTTTAAAAGTAGTAAGATAAATGAAATAAAAAGAAAAAGAAACTCATAATAATTGAGGGATCATGGCGAGATTTTACCCAAAGTTTACAACCACTTGAGATTTTGTTTAATCTCACGCAACAGGAAACCAGAATAATGGCTTTCCTATTCATATTTTGTTCTCTGAATTGGTTGAGAATATTATATGGGGCCTAAAAATAGCAAACAAACAAAGAAATTGGGTAAGATATTAAGTAAAGATAATATAATAATAAACAATGATAAAAGAATTAAAAGATGAAGCAATACAACAACTTAAACAAATATTAAAGACAATACGATAAATAAATAATTAGCCTCTAAATAAAATCGAAAACCAATTAAATATGACTGAGAAGTGAGAAGTTTATATATTGCTCGAAAGAAACCTGAGAATAAATAAAAGGAAAAATGTTAGATTAAAGGCTAAACATAAATTAAAATTTTTAAATAATATAAATTAAAATAAATATAGAAAAAACATTCTAAAATAAAATTGAATAATTAAGTTAAATAAACGAAAATGGTAAAATTGACCAAATCAAATTAATGGAGAAAATTAGAGGACCGAGAAAATGATTTTCGCAGACTTCTTCAAATTAAGTGGGTTATACCCTGGAATGGTTTGGCACGTTCAGTTGAGTGTGAACCAAAATTAAGAAAAATTGGTCCATTCATTCTCTTTCTCAAATCGTGTGAGAAAGAGAGAGAGCTTTCTCTACACTGGTCCCATTTTCGGAAGCTGGGGCTGAAGCTACCACGATGATCGATGTTGGTCCTGGTCCGCCGCTCATTGTCGACATCCGTCACCGCCATCCACTGATTGCCGTCGTCGGCCAAACAGGAAGACTCCTTCCCTTCTCTTTGTTTCACGTTCTGTTTTTCTCTCCCTCACTAAGCTATTGCTTTTACATGTTGATCTTCACTATTATAAAAAATATGCAAACCAAATTTGTACTAGAAGAAAGAGATTGAAAAAAAATGCTTTATTGATTCTTTATTTGTCGAAAATACAGTGGTATTATTCTTCCCTATTGTATCCTACTCTCCCCTTTTTTCTCTCGTATCGAACTGAATATTTCCTGTGTCCCTCCTCCCCCTGTACTGTGCGTGGTTACATGAATTTATACTATGAGAAAAAACCTATTTTTAGTTTGTGCTAGACTCCTGTTGAAATTGAAATTGATTCCCTTATCTTCGGCTTCTTTCCGAGTCCCATGGGACTAACTTGCTTTTGTATTGTTGATTTGGTGGTTGTTGCCATGAAAATCAATCGCGTGGGAGGCGTGAAGAAGCTGGGGTGATGATGCGTCGCTCGAGGGAACTTGCTTAGGGAAGGATGTGATGCTGAGGTGGGAAACCCTAATCCAAACCGAGTCACTACTGGGCCACGTGTAATGGATCTTGTAAATGGTCTTCTGTGGGACCTGTCACATGTAATTAAACCCAAATAAATAAATATATATATATTATATAATATAAATTGTAAATGAAAATAATATATTATATAATATAATTTTAGTGGACGAAATTTGGTGTCTTCAGCTGCCCCTCTTTGCTTATTATCATGAAACAAAAATAGAGCAAAGATTAAAAGACACAAATTTTGTCCAGATCGAATATCATCTGTCGTAGAGTTGAAATCCGATATTAAGACTAGTTTTACAAAATAACTCCCTCATCGTGAACTCAGAGTATTAGAAGGTAGTTCTTGGGTCGTCTTCTAGCCCAAGAGACTTCGTTGTGAAGCTGAAACTTGACTTGAAGACTTCGGTGCTGATGTGTTGCAGACAACTCCTTCATCGTGAAGTCGAGTTCATCTTGAAATGATATGAAATTGAAGCCGTAGTTCGGAATTTGAATCAGCACGTGGCTTCTCGTTGCCCTTCGGTCTTCTTCTCGGTTTAAAGACCTTAGATCAGAATCGAACTCAGAAATCTTCATTGATAGATAGCTTTTTCTTGACTTAAGCTATGCTGCTTGAAAATGGTTGCTTGTCACTAAGGCACGGCTAACCCAGGTCCTCTTCTTGGCTTGAAAACCTTGACTGCAACCGGAAAGTAGTGCGATTGATGTGTCATCGAGCTGAATGGAATCGAACTCGACAATTTTGATGGCAGATAACCCTTCTAGCCTTGAGTTATGCTGTAAATGATGTGCCTTGGAGCTGAGCGTAGTCGAACTCGAAGGTCTTTGTTGACAGATGGATGATGCTTGTGTACACGATTCCCTTCGTCGTGAAGTTGAAATCGCGGGTGGCCCCTTCGTCGTGAAGTTGAGCTTGGAATTGGATATCCTTCGTCGTGAAGTTGAAATCCAAGTAAGTAGCATTGTTCCGAGTCCAATATCCTCCGTCGTGAAGTTGAAATTGGCTCTGGAACTGGGAAATTGTTTGTTGACAACCAGCCGTCCCTTCGTTGTGAAGTTGAACTTGTGTTGTCTCGAGTCCAATATCCTTCGCTGTGAAGTTGAAATTGGCTCCGAAATTGGGAAATTGTTTGTTGACAACTAGCCTTCCCTTCGTTGTGAAGTTGAACTTGTGTTGTCTGGAGTCCAATATCCTTCGCTGTGAAGTTGAAATTGGCTCTGAAATTGGGAAGTTGTTTGTTGACAACCAGCGGTCCCTTCGTCGTGAAGTTGTACTTGCGTTGTCTGGAGTCCAATATCCTTTGCTGTGAAGTTGAAATTGGCTCTGAAATTGGGAAGTTGTTTATTGACAACCAGTTGTCCCTTCGTCGTGAAGTTGAACTTGTGTTATCTCGAGTGGCACGATATCCTCCATCGTGGAGTTGAAATCGTGGATGTGTGGGAACGATATCCTCCGTCGTGGAGTTGAAATCGTGGATGACCCATTCGTCGTGAAGTTGAGCCTTGATTTGAATATCCTTTGTCGTGAAGTTGAAATCCAAGTATTGTGAAGTTTGGCTTCAAACTAGATATCTTCCGTCGCGAAGTTGAAATCTACTCTCGAGTTGATTGTGTAGCTTTGAGCTCAATATCCTTCGTTGCGAAGTTAAAATTGACTCTAGCAAAAACCTGAAAAAGTTATGCATATATGTGATGAGATGGATGCAATGCTCTTAGGTATGCCTAAAATGCATATGCAACATATGTTATTTTTGGGCTCAGGATTGAAATCTTGATCTCCGGTTGCTTTTCTGGAATCCTCAAGTTTTGATCCCTGATCTCTAATTCTTCAAATGTTCAAATCTGATGTGCACATTCTATTTTTTGATTTGAAAAATGCTTCTCGACCATCCCAAGTATGTGTCTGAGCTGAGTGTAACGGTTCAAATGATGCTTCAAGAGAAGTTGTCTCGAAAGAGATAGAATTCGTTTCAAGGGAAACGATCTCAAAGATATTTGTTGTTTCATGAGAAACGGTCTCAAGGAAGACAAAATTTTGTTTTAAGAAAAACTGTCTCAAGAGAGACAAAACTTAGTTCCAAAAGAAATTGTCGTACGGGGAGATGAAATTAGTTCCAAGGAAAACATATTCAAAGATTTTGTTTCAAGGGAAACTGTCTCAAGAGAGACAAAATTCATCTCAAGGGAAATGTTTTCAATGTTTATATTTCAAGAGAAACTTTTTCAAAGAGAAACGATTTCAAAGGTTTTTCTAAGGGAAACAGTCTCAAGGGAGACAAAGTTTGTTTCAAGGGAAACTGTCTCAAGAGAGGCAATGGTGGGCACGATTCCCTTTGTCGTGAAGTTGAAACCGTGGGTGGCCCCTTCGCCGTGAAGTTGAGCCAGGAATTGGATGTCCTTCGTCGTGAAGTTGAAATCCAACTTGAAAATGCGAACTGGATCGGTTCTGAATTAGCTCTCGAACTCGTCTGAAGTTGATTCTAAGATCTGTCGATCTTTCAATATGTCAAATTGGTTGAAATGTAGCTTCTTGCTGCTGAGTTAAGCAACCAACATCAAT